CCCCCCCCCGCCCGGCCCGCTCCTCTCTGCTCGGCATGTGAAGCCGCGTGTCTGACTCCTGTCCCGCTCTCTCGGCCACCGGTTCCCCTGGCCCACAGAGGAGCCCAGCTTCCTGGCTCGGCGCCGGCCGGCCCTCGTGTCCTCGCCCTTTGCGCAGCTGCGCATTGATGCCGACGAGGCGGCCCGGGAGGCCGTGGCATGCGAGATCGCCGGCCCCGGGGCCCCGGGCAGCGGCGATTCGCCGGTGTTGCTGGAGCGTTCGCACACTGCCCCGGGGATGCTCGACCGACTGGGGTACACCTCGCCGCGGGTGACGTCGGACCTTGCGGCGCACCAGGTTTGCGAGGGCATGCGCCATGCGGCCCTTGAGGCATCCGCTGCCCCGCGCGCCGAGGACCTGTGCATCGGGTGCATGTACCGGCCGGTGGAGGTGTGCATCCGGCGGACGTGCCACCTGCCGAGCCGGGAGCCTGGCATGGGTGGTGCCGGGGGGTCCCCGGGGCCCAGCTCCCCGGGTCCCGGCACCCGCAGTCCTCGGTCCTACATTCAAAGCCCTCTTGGCCATGGGGCCTCTCGGTCGCTGGCGGCCGGCGGGGGACCGACGGCCGCGCATCCGTGGCTGTCGCCGAACCCGCGCATCGCCTTGAGACCCGGGGGCGGGTGGACCGCCGGAGGGGTCCCCCGACCCGGGATCATGAGCCCCATCGCGGGCCCTGGCTTGTCGCGTAGTCCCTTGGCACGGAGTCTCTCGGCGGCTTCCAACATGGCCCCGGCCCTTGCTGCCAATGGGCGCAGTCTGCACCCCCTGGCCCAGCACCACCCCCACCAGGCCCCTCTTCAGCAGCCGCAATCGCAGCCGCAGCCGCAGCCGCAACATCACCATGACACCGGGCGCCGGGCCAATGAGTGTGGCTCATGCGAGTGTCGGCCCATGTGGTGTGGTGAATGGTGCGTCTTCTTCCCTCGACAAAGCCGGGGCTGGGCGAGAGTCTCTCTCTCTCTCTCTCTCCCCCTCCCCCCCTCTCTCTATCCACCGTGGGGATGCCGCCTATTGCTCGTCCCCCCCGGCCTCCCTTCCGCCTCGGGATGGGGTGGCCAGCATGAGGCCATGGCCAAGCCAGTCCCAATAGAAGGGGGAGGATGGTCCAGGAAGGGTGTCTCATGGCGGATGGCGGAATTCTCCGACTAACATTAGGCGCCTCGTTCTTTCCTCGGCGCAGCCTCCTCCGGTGGTTCCTTAGCAGGCAGCCGGTCGGTCAGCAAAGCCCGATGATGGACCCGGCCACGGGGGCAACTCACCCGCAGCACCCGCCGGGGCCTGCCACCGCGGGCTTGCGCCCGGGGTGGGGTGGCGGCGGCCCTGCCGCATCGCGGTCTCTCCTGCCGGAGCCGTCCTCCCCTCGACAGACGGTGGACAAGTGGATCCTCTTTGGCCAGGCCAGTTGCCCCTCTTGTGCGCGGGACTTCTGTGCCAAGGACATTGTCTTCGCCACGGCATCCGAGCTGGCGGAGTATCGCCGCCGGACCAGCCCCCAACTTTGAGTCCGAGGCATGGCAGCAGGAAGGGAGGGGGCGGGGGCGGGGCGAGGACTGGAGAAGTGCATGGGTCTCCTCTCTACGTTTCGACTTCCCTCCACCTCTCCCCTCCTCCTCTCTCTTGTCTCAATGTGTCTCGGTGTGAGTTGCGACGGCGCCCTTGCTTTTTTGCCCCACCCACTCAAACGGCACATTCCGTCCCCCCCCCCCCCGTCACCCTTTCTGCCCACGCTCAGTGACCACCGTCCATGGGGCGAAGGAGCGATGCATGCGCTACTTTCATGGAAGGGGGGGGGGGGGGCGCACGATGATCAGGGGAGGCAAAGGGCACGCTTATGGTCCTGCATATTGGCGGCTGGCCGCGGTGTGTGGATAATCTTGCTTGCCCCTCCCCCCCCCCCTCTCCCTGTCTCCCCCTATCTTCCCCCCTCCCCTGTCCCAACCATATACATGCGCTGTTGTCCCTGCCATGTACTGAAATCGAAACCCGGCCAGGCATATCCGTCCGTGCAACTGCAAACAAAGGCAGTCGATAAACAGGAGGACCGGGAGACAGCACATGTGCGAAGATATTTTTTTTATGGTGCCCATGGCGCGAAATAAAAACACACCAATGTCTTCGAAAAAATAACAACAGCAAACAAATGGAAAATGTGACACATTCCAGCGGGGGTGTTGGTGTCTAGAGGAGGGGGCGGAGAAGGAGACGGAGAGGGAAGCGCTGGAGCCGACAGGGCCAGGTCAAAAAGGAAACCTCTGGAGGCGGAGGGTATCGATCCCCCTGCCTGCCGCATGCTAAGCGGCCGCTCTACCATTTGAGCTACGCCCCCCGGAGATGAAGAGCACCCACCGAGCCGCGCTTATGATCATTGGCGACCGCAAGCAGTGGGGAGCCGCTGTGCATCCCCCCCCCCGGCAACGGCTGCCCCCGCGCAGGGATGGCCGATTCACCCCCCCCCCCCCCCACCCAGGAGGCAAATGTGGATGTCCTTGCCTTGGACCAGAAAAGCCGGGTGCATGCGGTACATTCGTGTGGCCACCCCAATGGGGAGTGTTGCCGGGTGCCATTCCCGCCCAAAGAGCGCCGGGAGAGACCCTTCACGGGACAAGGCCGCTACCCGGCTGTGTTCCTCGCCCGGGGACTGCGGCAGGCCGTTTCAAACGGGCCGAGAGCCGGGGCCCCTGCGCAGTCGTGGGGCTTGTTCGCCACATTCCGGGCAGAATCACACGACGGATGATGTGAATCACGCCGCACCCATCGGCCGGCGTGCCCCAATTCGTTGGGTATTAACCCAAGAAACTCAGGGGGCCCTTGGTCCTGATGCTTTAAGTGAGCGAGATAAGCGGGCCCGCAGGACCTTTGGCATTGCGTGTGGGGCGGCTTTTCTGCGTGGCCCACGACTCTGGGGCGGCCCGAGACCTGGATGCCGTCAGAACGACTGATGAGCCTTATCTCCTCCCATTGAGGGCTTCGACGCGCGGGGAGGGGGGGGGGGGGGACTTGTCATCCTTTTAGTCAGGGCCCGGGCCACATATGAGTGCAAGAGTGTCCGGCTGATGCTGGCCGCTCCCCTCCTCGGCCTGCCCCAGCTTCTCGGGCTCCCTCGCCCGAGAGGGACAGGATCAAAGGGGCGGCGGGGCGGGCAGAGGTCCGCCCCCCCTCTGCCGAAGGGAGCCTCGCCGCGTGGTTGGCTGGCCCGGGCAATGGGATCGGGTATCTGCCTTGGCCTTCAAAAGGGTGGAGGGCCGGCGGCCGGCCGGCTGCTGCTGGCCGATGACAAGTAATCCCCCATCCTCTCCTCCCTTGTCCCTGGCTCCTTCCTCCCCGCGCCCTGCGTCTGCCTCGTCCTTCCGACACCCCTGCCGGGCAACTCGGCGACCACTTCCGCTGGTGTTGCCAAAGCATCGGTCCCCCCCCCCCCTCGCCCCCCGGTCCGAATCCCACTGCTGTCCACGGAATGCCCAGGATGCCGCAGCTTGAGATCACGGTTCCCCTCTCAGATCCCAGTGAATCATTAGATGACCTCCGCCAGGATGACGACCTGGACGCGTCGCCAGCGCGCGGCATCGCGCGGTCGGATCCCACACCTTCGCCATTCGGCCCGCGGGGGGGCATTTCCCCGGAACTCGAACAGCCAGCCGCCCACCGAGACCACTCGGTCCGAACGTTGGAGTTTCCGGAGCTCCCCTTCCGCGAGCTGGATGGTCCGGCGCCGCTGGCGAATGGCGACCTACCGCGATCAAGGGGCGCGACTATTGACAGTCAAGACGCGCCGCCTTTTTTCAGCTCCCTGACGCCACGTATGTCGAAGTGATGGTCTCCAGCCCGGTGGTGTTCTCCTGGCCATTTGTCCTCGGTGTGTGTGTGGGTGTGTGTGTGTGTGTGTGTGCTGACGCGGTGGCTGTGTCATCTTTCTCGCCCCCCCGACCCAAACCCATCGCCGGGTCCAGTCTTTGCCTACTGCTGGCACAGGCTGAAGAATGACACCGCCAGCTTGATCTACGAGATGAACCAGCCCTTCGTCCGGAAGTTCGGGCCTGGTAACTTTGACATCGACATCCGTTGTGACATCTTCTTGCGCTTTTACAACCGCCGCTTGGAGAAGGACTTCCGGCGTTTCTTCCATGCATATGTGCGTCCGGTCGGGTGGCCGCCCAGCTCGCGCCTTTGCCCCTGCCCTGGGATATGTCCCGACGCCTGGTCGCTGGCCAGGTCCCCGGGCCTGGGCCCTGCGCTGTCGGGGATTTTGCATGACGTGGTGGTGCCTTTCCCCCGGCCGCCGTCTCGGCCTCTGACTGGTCTGTCCCCTCGCAGGATCACTCCTCCCTCATGCGCGTCATCTGCATGGACTTCCTCTTGTCCTCCATGCAGATGATCATCTTTTTCTCCCTCAATGACTACCGGGACAATGACAATCGGAGATACTTCTCCCTTGTGGCCGGCGGCGGCCTGGTCATCTACATGATCTTGGAAAGCCTGATCTTGGTCTTCCTCATGCTCAACCGGTCTAGCCGTTGTGTCACCCTGGCCAAGTGGCTCTTTGCGATGCTGCTCTTCATGTACCCCTGGATCTTCATCCTTGGCCATGTCATTGCCCCCCGGCGGAAGGTGCCTGCCCCCTGGCCCTGCCCCCCCGATGCACCGGCAGCCGGCGGCCCATAACGGAGCTAAGCCCCTCCCTCCCCTTGCCCGACTGACGTACCATGTGCCCGCCCGCCGCCCGGTCCCCCCCCCCCCTCCCCTGCTGCCCTGCCCTGCCCTCGGCGTAAAGAGCTACAGCCAGGCATACCTGAAGTTTAATTCGGCCATGATGATCGTCATTCCCATGATCATGATCCTGTCACGCTTGCAAATCCGCAGTGCCCTGCTTGTCAACCTGGTCAACATCTTGCTGAATGAAATTGTCCTGATCGTCTTCTACTGCATCAATTACAAGGACCTAAAGGTCTTTGGCAAGTGGCCCTTCCTGCTGCTGTCGCCGCTGTTGTACCTATTGTCGCTGATGGTGTCGGCCCTGATTGCCCTGCGCCGAGAGTACCACTCGCGGACCTTCTTCCTGCAGACGCACATCCTCTATCGTAACAAGGAGCAGCTGGACCTGGCCCAGTCCACGGCCAACATCATCCTGCGATCGATCATGCCCCGCAGGTGCGCGGTTGTTGCTTTTCAGTCTCGCTGGCTCATTGGCCCAAGCGAGCCGGCTGCTGTGGATTTGTTGGTGTTGCTCACACTCGCTGTCACACGCATTTACAATGGGCTTGGCATGGACGCCGTCTGCCCGCCGGGGCCGACCCTCGCCGTCCATCCCTTCGCGGATGACTTTGACGGCCAATGCTGGGACGACTCTCGCCCATGGGCCTCCGTGCCATGGTGTGATGTCCACGGCGCGCCCTGCCCTGCCCGACTGCCCCTGTGCCCATCTGTGCACATGTGTGCATATCTGGGCCACCATGCGGCGGCGACGGCGGTGGCGGCGACATGCGAACGCCTGGTCCACAGCGTGATGAAGAAGTTCCGCTTCGAGCAGCGCATCACCATGAAAAACCACCAAGTCCCGAGCATCCTGGAAAGCCACGCCAATGTGACCATCCTGTGTAGTGACATTGCCGGCTTCACGGCATTCAGCTCGGCCATCAGCCCGGAGGAGCTGGTCGAGACACTGTCGCTGGTGTTTGTCTGCTTCGACAGCCTGGCCCACGCGTACAAAGTGGAAAAGATCAAGACCATGGGCGACTCGTATATTGCCTGCTGCGGGGCGCCGCAATATGAGCCGCTGCATGCCCTGCGCGTGTGCATCCTTGGCTTGTCGATGCGCGATGCCATTCGCGAGTTCGACATCAAGGCCAATGTGCCCACCAGCGTCGGCCTCATGGGGCCCATGTACAGCGGGTACTTCCAGCCACTGCAGATGCGCATCGGCGTGCACACCGGTTCCGTGACCGCCGGGCTGGTGGGGCTCCGGTGCATGCGGTATGGTGCGTTCCTGGCTCACTGGCCGGCCAGCCGGCCGGCCGGCCCGGCCCGGCCCCTGCACCACTTGTGACACCAGTCACGCCCCCGGCATTGGGCCGTGCCCATTCTCCGGGAGCACCAGCACAGACCATGTGTCCCCCTTGGCCCTAGGTCTGACTCGATCGCTGTCCCCACCGCTCGCGGACCTTCCCATGCCGTGCCGTGCCGTGTCGTGTCGCGCCGTGCCGTGCCGTGTCGTGCCGCGCCGTGCCGTCATTTGGTCTCGTGTGGATCTGCCCGGCACGACGGACATTCGGATGCCGGTCTCGCTTGGCCCGACCCTTGGGGCCCTTCGCCGCCACCGCCAGACCTCTATTCGTCCGACGTGCAGATTGCCACGGCCATCGAGGAAACCGGCGCCAAGGACATCCCGCACATATCCATCAAGACCTACCTTGCCCTGGGCGAGCAGGCCGAGGACTTCATCTTCGAGCGGTCCCTGGTCCGGGGCGTGTACCACCATATGATTGCCGGCCGGACCGACACCATGTGCCTCATCCGCCTGCGCTCTCTGGGCGAGGGGGTCGGCCCGGCTGGCGGGCTGTCAGCCACCACGCAAAAGGTAATTAGCTTTGCCGAGCGCCGGTTGAGGCGCTTCACCAGTGCCGTAGACCCCCTCGGACCGTCCAGCCGGTACGCGCCATGCCCTCAAAATTGTGTCTGCCCTTGTGTGCCTTCGCCTCTTTCGGGTGCTGGGCTCGGTGACCTGCCACCCTGGCCCGGTTCCGGCCCATGGCAAGCCCTCTAACCGGCATTGTGGGCGTATGTTCATTCCTCTCCCGAAGGACCTTCTCCCGGAGCAATGACAGCCAGCCGTGCGATTTCAATCCGTTCAAGGTCGAGGTGCGCCCAGGCATGAGGGGGCCTCTTCTCCCCCCGGGCCCTTGGCCATGTATTCTTGCCGGAGGTGAGGTCCGATTCCGGGCTTGCTAACTGCCCTCCATTGGGGACCATAACGCTCGGCCGGCTGTCGGCGCACGGGAAGGGGCCAAAGATGAATGCCCACCCCCCGACGGCCAGCATGCCGAATGGCAGTCACACATCGGCCGGGCCGAGCACCGAGGAGCACATCGCGTCCCCTGGCTGCCCGGCCAACAGCCGGCAGGAGCATTGCTACAGGTTCCGGGCCGAGTCCATCGCGCGGTGTGTGGCCCGGGTGTACGCCTCGCGGTGTAACAACAGCCAAGTGCGCAATGATGGCGATGGGCTGCTGCTGCGTGTGTCGAAATCCTCGCCCGCCGTGCTGGGATCGGTGCCGGCCCTGCACCGGTCGACTTCGCCACGCACCGTCGGTATCCAGGACGAAAATGTCCTTGTGGCCGGGGCCAAGCTCAGCCGCCTGACACAGGCCACCCTGCCGAAGAAGGCCAACCACATGAAGGCCATCACCGGGCCGGTGGAGATGCTGCCGCTGCGGCCGCGCCGAGCTTCGCTGGCCGGCGGCCATGTGGGCCAAATTGCCGGCCTGCAATTCCCCCTGCCCGGGGTCGGGGTTCCGCGGGTGGATCCCGCCTGGCCGGGGGCCGAGTCGGATGCCCCCGGGGCCGAGGGCGCCAGCGGCCCATCCCCCGACCGGGCGGATGTCCCGCGGCTGGTGGCCTCGTCGGTGCCGCCGCGCGAGGTCGGCGACGAGGAGTACATGCCGGCCGGCCGGCCGCCCATGTCGGCCCCCCCGCGGGCCATGGACCCCAAGCCGCCGAGCATGGTCAACCGCTTCCTCGGGGAGATCACCGAATCGCTGTCCGGCATCTTGGGCTCCTTCCGGGGGTATGCCGCGGCTCGGACGCCGACCTTCGAGCCGCGCGAGCCGGAGCCGCCCCCGCGGCCGCCGGCCGAGGGCGGGGTTCCGCGACCGCGGCCCGGGCCCGGCGCCGGCCCCACGGCGCGCGACATGCCATCGCCGGAGCAGTACCATCTCAGTGTGTCGGTCTTCGATGACCTTGACCGGGGGGCCCTGCGGGACACCCGTTCCACGGGCATGCTCAGTCGCGGGGCCGATGTGCTGGTGATGAAGGACACCACCGACCTGCCGCCCGAGGAGCTGACTCTGCATCCGATCGCCATGCAGCGCATGCACCCATCGGTGCCGTTGAGCCAGTCGATTGGCCACCTCCGGGACTCCTGGGCGCCTGGGAAGCCGCCCGGAAAAGCGCCTCCCCCCGCCGAGGTGGCTGCCCCCGTGTCGGATGCCCGCGCCTCGGCCGTGCCGTCCACCGACACGGACCCCATGACCCCGGGGCGGGTGGCTCGGTGGCTGGGAATAGCTCGGTGGCCCGCGAAGCGCCGATCGGCGGCCGACATGTCGCCGGCCGCGACCGCCGCCGCCCCGCAGCCGGTCACTCGGCGCCCGAGTGAAACGCCCAGCCCCCTGCTCAGCCTCCAGACGGCCGCCGGGGCCGTGAACGGAGACGTGCCCATGTCACATCCCTCCAGCCCGCAGGCCGGTCGGCCGAAGGACAACCTCTTCCCGGATGAGGCCTTCGAGACGATCAACACATGCGGGGCCCCGAGCTGGCGACGGGTTTTTCACATTCACCACGGCGAGGCCCATCGCCAGGGGCAGGACCAGACGCCCGAGGAAACCCCGGACGAGAGGACCATCCGCCATTTGTCCGGCAGCCAGCTCATCTATGGCATGCATCGGATGCTGAATTACACCGGTACGATGGTGGCCCGCATGCCGGGGCCCGGCAGGCATATGCCCCCCCCCCCCCCGTCCCCCCTTCGGCCCACTGTTGCCGGCATTGGGCACATCGCTGACGTGCTGGCCTCCATGCAGGGCAATTCCGGTCGAAGCTCATCGAGCGTCGGTTTCGTGGCGACCGGGTGGTCATCGAGCATAACCACTATCTCCGGTCGATCGGGTGCTGTGTCTTCATGGGGGTGGTCATTATTGTGCGTGTCTTCCCACTGCCCGATGCGCTGTGCCTCTGCATAGCAGAAGGGGCGGGGGGGGGGGGGGGGGGGGACAAATGCGCATGCGCTGGCCTCCTGCCCGGCGGAGTTGCTGACCACCTCGTCGCATGGCCTTCCCCCGGCGGGGGGGGGGACGATTGTGTTGCCACCGACGGCAGGGGGTCCTGGCCGGAGCGGTCAACATGCCGGTCTGGACCCTGGTGCTGCACATTGTAGCCGTGGCCTTGATCTTCGTGCTGCTGGTGGTGGTCATGCTGCGCAATTGGTATGCTTCTGAGTCTCGTACTTAATGCCCCCCCCCCCCCGCTCTCCATGTCCAGACGGGGAATCCTTCACCTGGCGGCATCCCTGCGCGGACTGACCCTTGCCGTGGCACTCAGCATCAAGTTTCTCCGCGTGGACGAGCACATCTTCGCCATCGCCACCTGCCTGCTCCTTGCGGTTCTCGGTGTCTTTGATGTGGGCTACATTCCGCGCTCGGTCATGGAAGGTGCGCCAATGAGCCGCCGGTGGTCTGCACCCAGGGCGCACACGCACACACACACACACACACCCCTGCCCAGGCGGCAGCAGCTGGTCCGGCCGGCGCATGCCAAAGATACCTCCAGGTCCCCCGCCCTCCCTCCCGGCCCCTTCTTTCCTCGATGCCTTGGTCTGACCGGTGAGCCTCGCTCCTTCCTCCCGAGGGCAGATGCCTATGTCCCCAAGACCCCGAGTGTCTATGTCGGGGCAACCTTCACCATCACCCAGCTGGCCTTCTGTCTCTTCTTCTATTCGAACGGCCTGTTGTTGACGGTGCGCATCCCCCCGACGTGGGCCGAAGGGGCTTCCCGCCTGCGCCCCTATCGACGCCACATTCTGAATGTGTGTCTGTGTATGTGTGTATATGTTCCGGCGGCTATGGCCACCCCTTTGCCTGTCTCACACGCTCATTGCAACCTTCGTGGCCCATGGGTCGATTTGTGTCTCCCTGTGTTTGCCTGCCCCACCCTCCCTCGATCCCGTTCGCGCTCTCTCTCTCTCTCTCTCTCTCTCTCTCTCTGATGCTCTCTGCATGGACCACTCCTCACTCTTCCCCTGTTATCGACCTCCATGCGATGGACAACAGTGCATCTCCCTCCTGGTCGTTCCATTCAAGATCGGCTTTGCCTGTATCTTCTTCTACGCCATGGCCAGTTCCTCCACCTCCGAGGATGGCGTGATGACGGCTGTTACGGTGATCCTCTTTTTCTTTGTAGTCGGCATCATCAACTCCGAAAATGATCGTCTCATCCGGTATGTTGTGCCTTCCTCATCGCTCTCTCTCTCTCTCTCTCTCGCACGCTCGCTCGCTGTCTCCTCACCACCCCTGCATCCCATCCCCGCGCTCCATGGCTGACTACTTTCCCTCTCCCTTGCACCGGGCCACCGCAACCCCCCTCACAGGAAGCAGTGGTGGATCAGCCTGACCGTGCGCACCCGGACCGAGCAGCTGCAACGCGTGCGCGACCGGTCCGAGGCCCTGCTGTACTATCTCCTGCCGGGATTCGTCATCAACCGGTACGTTGACTGCCCACATGGCACCGGGCTAGGGTGGCTGCTGCTTCGCCATTGCTCGGGGGTCTACGAACACAGCCCCCCCCCCCCCTGCTAACCCCCTTCCCAACGGCCCGGCCGCTAGCCTGATGAAAACCCCGGATTTCCGCAGCCTCGCCGAGTCCTTCGACAATGTGGCCATCGTCTTTTTCAGCCTCCCCAGCCGTACGTTCAGTCGTTGCAGCGGTGCCCGCTCGCTCGACTCCCGCGACGCCCCTTACACTGGCAGCCGATATCCGGACCCCGGCACACTGACACACCATGACCAGGGCTGATGGGGGACGAGCTGTCCGACGAGGACTCCTTGGAGATTCTCATCCGGCTGTCGCGCTGCTTCGACCAGCTGGTGCACTATTATGGCGTGCTGAAGATCAAGGCCGGCGGGGAGAGCTTCCTGGCGATTGCCGGCGGGCCGGCCGTGTACACCTGCAATCGGCCCTTCCCGCCGCTGCCACTGAGCCTCTACGCCAGTGGCGTCCATGGGAGCTGGACCTCCCTGAAGACCATGCGTCACATTGCCCGGGTGTTGGTCCTGGCCCAGCAGCGGTACATCGAAACCGAGGATCCGGCTCAGGCCAACTGCTGGGACTCGCCTGGCCGTCCGGCGCCATACCGACGCCTGACGAGACATTCCTTGGTCCCGGCGGGCCAAGATGGCGAGTTCCCCGGCCCCATGCTGGGCCGAGATGTGCCCCCGGCCAGGCCGGTGGCCGGAGCCGGCCCCGCCATGGATCCTGCCGGTGCTGCGAGCGGGGTCCTGCCCTCGGCCATCTGCCCGAATGGCTGGGACCCGGTGCTGTCGCCGCCGCCGCCGCCGACGTCCACCTTCCTCCACCGGGTCCCGGGGGCTGGGATGCCGGTGGCGGGCGACACCGTGCACGCCCCCCAGCCAGGCCCGGCAGGGCCTGGCAGCAGCACGCCCAGGGATGATGCCATCAATATGGTAAATACGTCGCACTTTTCCGGGCAACTTGGAGCCAAGAGCCCCCCGCGGGGGACGATAGGCATTGATGATGCCGCCAGCTCCCTCTTGCTGCGATCCATGGCCGGGGATGTGAAGGTCCCGCGGCATGCCTGGCTACGCCAGGCCAGGCAGGCCGGCTGCGACCGGTCTAACAAGCTGGCCGGCAGTCCGGCCGGCGGATCGACCCCCCGGGCAGGCCGGCTGGCGGAGTCGCGGCCCGGCAGCGCTTCGGCCACGCGGCCCCCGCGAGATGTGGCCTCCGAGGACTTCAACCGCGCGCACATCGTGCTCCCGGAGAGGGTGGTCGCCGGCGAGCCGGCCGGCGAAAGCCTCGTCGACAGCCTGCTGTATGAGACCCTGGACCGGGACAAGAGCCAGAACTTCCGGGTCTGGCGCAACATCCGCCACTCGATCAAGCGCATGTCGCCGCAAATCGAATATCATCAACGCCAGCCGGTGCCGCGACCATCGTTGGCCACCGTGTCGCCGCGCATGGCCAACTTGCGCGACGCCCGCATGCGCTCCCTCGGCAAGGGCGGCCGGCAGCGGGGCAAGGCCCCGGGCGGCAGGGAGCCCGGCCAGCCGGCCGGCCAAAGGCCCCAGCCGGTGGCCGATGGCCTGGACATCGGGGCCGCCATCGAGTACCAGTGCCCGGCTCTTCTGCCGGCCGACCAGCGGCTGGCCCTTTCGCCCGCCATCAACCAGGGGGGCCTGGCGTGGGACGACGATGGGATCGACCTTGCCCCGAAGGGCCCGAGGCTGGGCAGCGTGGATTGGCGCCTGTTACAGCCGTCCCGGTCGGACGGCGGCGGCCATGCAGCCCGGCGGGACTTGCGGGCGACGGGCCACGAGAGTGGGTCGCTCGCAGGGCCGGGGGGCTTCCGGTCGCCGCGAAGCGCCGACATCGAGGCCCTCGTGGAGGCCGACAGCCCGGACCTCGAGCGGGCCTTCGAGCTGGACGCCGGCGAGGACGACCTCGAGGACTTGGACATGGAGGACGGGTCCTTCCTGGTTGAGGAGTGGGAGGAGCTGGCCCGGTTGAATGACGGCCTGACGACCCAGGCCCCGAGCCAGCGCCGGCCCATGCACATAGACTTCATGGGCTTGGACCTGTCGCGAGCCGCGCAAATCGGCGACAATCTCAATGCCCTGTCCTCGAATGAGCACCTTTTCGATGCGGACGGCAACTTCCACCTCTGCCTGCCGACCGTGCACGAGCCCGGCACCGGCAAGTCCGAGGCGTGGAATCACCACTGGGACCGTGAGGCCGAGGAGCTGATGCACCACGGCGCCCGCTACTGGCCGACCCACGGGGCCCAGGCGGCCGGCGGCCCGGGGGCAGGCGAGCCCGGGCGCTTCCTGGCCGAGCCGACCATGGAGTCCCCCTTCGCCGGGTCGATGCTGAGCGACCCGCTGTCGCGCTTGCTACTCCTGTCGATCCACGTGCAAAACCTGGGCGTTGCCATTGGGAGCTCCTTCGACAAGGACCTGCGCATCCGCGCCGGCGTCAATGGTACACATGCTTCCGGGGGGCTGCCGTGCGGCTGCCCTGGCGGACGCCGGGCAGCGCGATCGCCGGCGCGTCGGACCGAGACGGCGGCCGGGGGCCGGGGGCCGGGGGCCGGGGGCCGGGGGGAGGGGGGTCCATGGCCGGACGGTGGCCGCTCCCTTTTTAGCCGGTGCCCCGAGCTTGCCGCCTTTTCGCCGCTGTCGCATTGGCACTGACCATTTGTCTGGCCTCCTGGGCCCGCGCCGGTCCGCGTCCCGTGCGCCGCCCTGCTGCATGGCGCCGCCGGTCATCCCGGCAGTCGGCCCGGTGGTTGCCGGGGTCATTGGCACCGACAAGTTCCTGTACGATGTCTGGGGCGACAGTGTGAATCTGGCCTCGCGCATGGACAGCACCAGCCTGGGCGGGCGCATCCAGGTGACCCGGACCGTGGTCAACCAGGCCGACTCGTCCTTTGTCTTCGAGCGGCGCGGGTCCATCATGATCAAGGGCAAGGGGCCGATGACGACCTACTTCCTCCGGAGCTTGCGCCTGTCCAGCACGGGGGGCCTTTCCGGAGGCCGGGCCCAGGTACGCCCGGTGCTGGCCCGGGTGTCGGGGCCTTTGGGGAGGGGGGAGGGGGGGGGGAGGGGCAGCGGGGGGCGGCTCGACAAAGGGCGGCCATCCCTCAGGCGGCCATGTACTGACAGGACCACCGGGCCAGCAGGGGCCCAGCGCGCGCCACTCGACGGCCAACTCCTCCGCGGTGACGCTGGTGGCGTCGGATTCGACATTGGTGGCTGCGGACCCAACCGAGGGGTCGGCCTCGGGGGCGGACTCGCCGGGGGCGCGGCCGGCCAGCAAGAAGCACAAGAAGAAGACCCTGATCGCCGGCGGGGCATTTGATGGGGCCGGGCCGGGGGGTCCCTTGAGCCCGGGCCTGGCGCCCGGGTCGCCCGCCATCCGGGACAGCCCCTCGGAATTTTGGCTCGGCCATGACATGTCTGGGCTGTACACGCGCCCCGCCTCGCCGGACCTGATGGCGGTCATGTCGGCCGGCGGCGGTCGGTCGGACTCCGAGGCCCCGAGCTCGCCCTTCTCGGCGGGAGCCCCGGGCGATGGTGCCCTGCCGGCCACCCCCCTGTACAAGGAGCCGTGTACCTGCCCGGTGCCGGGGGACTCGCCGGAGGCCGAGCACCTCCGCCAGCACCCGCCGACCGAGGTGGAGTTGCTGAGCGCCGCGAGGGGGGCGGCCTTGCCGGCGGCCGGGAGCGCGGCCCTGGCGTGCGGCCCCGGCGACGAGTCGACTCAGCGGTCGCCACGGGCTCGGGACCCGGGCCCGGGGCCGAGTGTGGCGCTGCCGCCGGCGCCGCCCGGCGCAAGGGACCCCGGCCGGTTGGCCGGCCGGATGCATGCCCCGGAGCCGGATGGCCCCTGCCTGGCCGAGCCGGCTTCCGAGTCCCTGAGCACCCCGAGGACGACCTCCTTCGGGGACCTGCCGTGTGGCCGGCTGCCAAGCGATGACATTCGGCCAGCCACTCTCGGGGCCACGGGGGCCGATGTGGCGCGGGACCGGCAGCGCTCGACCCTGGCCGCGGCCGGGGCCACCGGCACGGCCGACTCATCGGCCCACGGCCTCGGGCTTGGGAGCGTCTACTTCCCGGGCTTCCGGCCCTGGCGCCGGCACAGCCTCGGAGGCGACCACGACCCGGCGCACCAGGAGGCCGAGCGCTTCCACATGCAGGGGTCCCGCCGGGGCCCGATGCAGCTGCCCTTCCACTTCAGTGTGCCTGCCTTGGCGCTCAATCTGGAGGGCACCCAGTTCCGGGAGGGCGGCAGTGCGTCGAATTCCCTCTCGGCGTCGGCCAGCATGCCGCTGCATTCGTCGGCCACCCTGCGCACGATCCTGCGCACGCTGGACATGGGCCCCATTGGCCGGGGAGGGCCCGGCGGCACGACGCCACCCGCCGGCAGCCAGCCTCCCCCCGCAGACCCGGGCCACGGGGGCCCCCGGCCAGCCGCCGCCGCCGCCGCCGCCGCCGCCGCCGCCGCCGCCGCCGCGGAGGTCGTCCAACACCCGGCCCCTTGCCGGGCACACGGGGCCTACCACTCGGACAGCCGGCCCTTGTCCTAGGGCCGGGCGAAGGGCCGCCGGGCCGGGATCCCCCTCCCCCCCCGGCCGCCGGTGGGTGAATGTGCATCGGTGTGCATGGCCGATCGCAGGCCCCCATCCGTGGAGTTTGGCCCGGGCCGGGATCCCCCCAAGCGGCCGGCCTCATGGCCATCCGGCCCGCCTGGCCGGCGTGCGCTGCCACCTGCGCGAGGGTGGACCATGACCCCCATCCCCCCTGGGCAGGCTCTGTGAGCGCGCTTCAAACTCGGGTGTATTCTTGCACAGGATGAGGAAAATAGACAGGGGACATGTTGGTCGAGAGATGGGCTGTCCACAGGGCGGGGGGAGGGGGGAGGAGGAGCGAGGACGCGGGGAAAGACGCGGCCGAGGGGAGGTGAGCGCATGGCGCCGCGCACCGAAAGTGGCACATGCCAAGGGGGATGGAGGGGGGGGGGGAAGGGCGGGGGCCCAACGCGTGGTCTCGAGAACTGCAAGGCACGCGAGCCATCCCTGGCCCCGAGTCAGAGCGCGTAGGGGACGGCGCTGTGCCCAGCAAGACGAGCGGGCGGGGGATGGAGGCCAGGACAGAGACGGCACCCGGCGCCTCCCCTGCGCGACGGGATGCCGTTGTTTCTTGGCGCGAGTGTGTTTGCTTGTTTGCTCTCTTTTTTTTTAGATGGGGGGCGCGAATGTGCCCCGGCATCGGCATGGCTGCCTCGCCGGGTCTCGGGAGCCGGGATGCTTCACGGTGCCTGGCCCGGGGCGCTTCGATGGAGGGGCGAGGGTGTATATGTATAAATCAATAAGGTGCCCTGCTGTGCATATGGGGAGGGGGGTGGGGGGCGCGTTGCGGCCACACATCAGGGCATCGAGTCTGTCCCAGAGGGGGTTCAGGTGCGCGCGCGCGCGCGAGCACGCCTCTCGGCCTCAGGTGGCGGCCATGGCGGTGCCCCGGCGGGAGGGGGCTTGCGCCGGGGCCCCGGGCATGGGCCCGCCCTTGCCGGGCTGCTGGTGGAGTTGCTGCTGCTGCTGCTGCTCGCGGCGAGTCGCGCGCACGCACAGCCCGGCCCACTGGTTGGCCGCCACGGCGGCCGTCCACTGGCCCACCATCCAGGGCACGAAGAAGTGCATGGCCACCGGGAGGGTGAAATACCGGGCCGAGCGGATGACAATGGCCAGGAAGGTGGCCATCTCCGGCGACAGGGCGGCCATGGCCTCGGCCAGCAGCAGCGACGCCGGGGACAGGGACCCGCCCGCCTCCAGGGTCAGGGCCGCGGCCACATACCCCTCGAGGCCGTGCATCAGGAGTTCCTGGACCCAGGCAATGGTGGCCACCCCGGCCGCCACCAGCAGGCCGATGACCGCGCGCCGCCAGAGATCGATGCCGCGCATGCGGCGCAGGTCGCCGAGGCGGGGGGTCGGCCCGGCGGGCCCGGCGGCCGCCGTGGCCGCGGCATTGCGCCGGCGGAGCTGCTCCACGCCCCAGAGGATTTGCCCGCGGCTGCGGACCGCATGCTCGGTCGGCGGCATGGCCAGCTCGCCGTCCGGCACGTCGGCCTGCTCGAAGGAATTGTCGCTGTCCTTCAGCATGTAGTGCGGCCGGAAGGGGATCTTCCGGAGGTGCAGCTGGGCCAGGTGCCGGAAGAGGAAGGCCGCCGCCAGGCCCAGCAGCTGCAGGGTCACCATGAAGGTGGAAATGCGCGTGGCCACGCCGGGGGCCAGGACATACTCGGCCGGGCGGACGCGCTCCAGCACGCCCACCGCCACGGCCAGCACGAAGACCACCTGCGCGCGGAAGGCATTCGGCCGCTGGCGCAGGAGGCTCGGCTCCGGCAGCAGGCGCCGGTCCACCGGGATGGTCCGGTCAAAGAGGGCCGCCTGGGCCGACACCTCCTGGTCATGGTCGTCCGCGTGGTCGGGGCGCGGGTCGTCGGCCGGGCCGGCCATGGGGTCGGCGCGGGCCGTCGCCGGCGCGGCCGCCTCCCCGAGCGTGGCCCCGGCGGTGGTGGGCTTGCCGGCCGGGGTGGCGGCATCGGGGCCGGGCGCCGCGGCCCCGCGAGACCGGATCTTGCGCAAGTCCTCCAGCGCCAGGGCCGCGCGCTGGCGCATCCGCTCGTCGGCGGTCGAGGTGAGCTCCGCGGTGGCCGGCGCCTCGGAGGAGGCCTCCTGCCGGGGGCCGGGGCCGCCGTCCTCGGCCAGGCCGGGCCCCGGGCTGGGGGCGGACGGCGGACGCGACGCCCCGGCCAGGGGGGCCAGGTCGCCGCTGGCCACCTTGGCCAGGCGCTTGTCAATGACCAGGTCCCCGGCCGAGGCCGAGTCCAGGATCGGCGCCAGGGTCATGGTGGCGGCGGCCAGGTCGGCCAGGGCGGCCGGGCGCTCGCTGGCCGGCAGGTCGGCCGGCGTGACGCCGAGGCTGCTCCGCCGGGGGGGCACCGGCATGGCCGCCAGACCGGCCACCCCGGAGGCCGAGCCCCGGCGGCTGCTGGGGTCGGTGTCGGCGAAGGAGGACCGCCGGCTGGGGGGCTTCAGCTCGACGGTCTTCACCTCGGCGCCGGCGGCGGTGGCCGACCCGCCGAGCGGCCAGCGGGGCCCGCCGGCCGGGGCCGCGATCACGGTCACCGTGCTCCGGCCGCCCGGGGCCAGGAAGTATCCCGACTGGCCGGGGCCGCCGCCGGCGGCCGCGGAGTCGGCCGCCTGCGGGCCCGGCTCCGCACTGGCCGACGCCCGACGCGAGGAAGGCCGACTGGGGATGGAGAAGGTGGCCTGCTTTTCGCCGATCTCCGGGAGGATGTCCTTGCGCTCCTCCTCGTCGACATCGTCCTCCTCCTCCTCCTCCTCCTCCTCCTCCTCCTTCGGCGAGGCGGGGGCCGCCATGCTGGCCGCGGTGGGCGCGGCGGCCAGGGCCGTGGCGGCACTCGCGACGGCCGACGCCCCGCCGGGCGGCTGCTTGGCCGGCTGGATGAATGCCTCGAAGGGGGACAGCTGGCCGGTTTCGGCGGACAGAATCTGCGACCGCGGCCGGAAGCGCAATACCGGCGGGGTGAGCTGCTCATGGCCGAGGGCCCAGCCGACGCCCGGGCCGGGGCCGCCCGGCGACGCGGCCACCTCCGCGCCCAAGGGCTCCTTGTCCTCGGAGCCGGAGTCCGGGGCAGGCATGGGGGCGCCGCGGGCCGGGCCGGCCGCCAGCCCGGCCGCCGGGACCGGGGCCGACATGCTGCCGCCGGTGGCACTCACGCCGCTGCTGGCCGGGCCCGGGCCCGGGCCCGAGCCCGAGCCCGAGCTCGAGCCCGAGCCGGCCGCCTGGGCCATGGCAGCGCCCTCATCACCGCCCGCAGTCAGCATGAGAGACTCCAGCTCCAGGGGATCCTTCTCGGTTTCCATGATGTACCGGAAGAAGTGATCATCCAGCAGCTTGTACAGCCGGACCCCGACCAGGGTGGTGAGGTATGTGCAGAAGTAGGAAGCCCCGTAGGCCACCGCGGCGAAGGCCATGGTCACCGATTGCGAGCCGATCAGCACCGACACGGTGGCCGCCGCGCCGATGTACCCCACGGTGGCCAGGCTGGCCAGGACGACAAACTGCTTGCGCACATGCAGCGCCATGAAGAGCAGCATGCCGGTGGCAACCATCAGATGGGCCGACGGCAGGCCCGAGGATTCTGTGCATGGTGTGTGTGTGTGTGTGTGTGTGTGTGTGTGTGTGTGTGTGTGTTCGGCCCCCGGCGAGCGATGGAGACCGGAGGAGGGGACGGCGAAGCCGGCCGGCCGCAGGGGAGAGGGGCCGCGCACAGGAGCAGGCGTAGGCGGTCAGCACACGAAACAGCCCTCGACGGGGTCAGCGAAAAAAGGGTGGCACCAGGCAGGCAGACCCCC